AATTTTTCACTTCTATTTATACTATATAGTCCAACATGGGGTTGCTTTGCTCAAGAGCACAAATGTATTAGTACCTACAACCTTTGGGTTACCAAAACATAGAAAGACTCATGAAGTGAACATCCAAGTCTTAAACCACAATTTATGCTGAGCCATTTTTATAAGCAATGAATGAGCATCTTACCAAACCAGTGTCCTCCCTCCAAGGAGACTGTAAGCCAAACTATTCATTAAAAGTGTCACGAAGAGAGCCTCATAACCCCCGTTTTTATTGATTAACTGTAATGGATATTATATCTCAACTTCATGCCAATTCCAGAATGACTCAAACTAAAACTAAAATAAAGAAAATACAAAGATTTCTAATAATTCTCTCAATACAACTTTGTTAGCCTTCAAATAAACTTGAACATCAATAGGTTACTCAGACAGAGGGTGAATACTGATTTTATTTTTGTACAATGTTCCCTTAAGCTGTTTAAATCCTGATACAAGCTTGGAATATTCGATAAATTAATAAGAAAGGAAATCCGCACAAACTTCAGTGGTTTGTGTGTGCGTCTCAACATTACCAGGACTAAAAACGGGTGAATGAGAATATTATATATGGTGGAGAGAAACCTTTTCAGCTATTTAAAAATCAACATGAAAAGTTCACAACCTCTTTTCTTCAGTAAAGTGACAAACGTCTTGAGTGAAACACTGAATGAGAGAAAAATGTAGAATTACGTTTAGTGAGCATTTATATAGCCGAGAGAGTGGAGCTGAAAAGCAAAACAGATTCATGACTTCAACTGAAAAGCAAAGTTAGTTTCACCGGGGCAGCAAGTTATAGAGTGCCGAAGTGATGACGTAACTTTGTAGGACAACTCGGAAGGTAGCGGCGCATGGGTTCCCTCGGTCGAAAAGCAATGCAATTTCCCCATAGACTTTTGGAAAATCGCAAAAAAATAAGATCTGTGTTCAACAAAGAGTTGTGACCCTTACACGTTTTGTCTAGCAAGATCATCTTTACAAGTTAATCCAAAAATTATACATTTTGAAGCCTATATAAAGATTTAAAAAAAACACACTCAGACACAATGAAGTTTAAAAATCCACAAGCAGGTTATAACTGTGTGTTCCATGTCATAGATCAAAACGTGAAAATATTTAGAGGCTTGTTCACCACAGACCTTATTTCAGGCGATTTAGCAAAAACCCATTCAAAAATCCCATAGGCTTTAGAGCGAGGGAACCGTAGTGCTAAAATGCTAACTCACTTCCGCATTTTGGCCTACAGAGTGACGTCGTAACTTCGGCACTCTATTACATTTGGATAGAGGATTATCATCACTTTTTAGCAAAAACTAATAGCCACCTAACGATCAGATAACTGTTAGTGAAGGTATTACATGTTTGGACTGATTTCGTATGGAAAAGGGTAAATTGGACATTCTGCTAAATAAATCCTATGTCTTCCATAGAAGAAATTAAACGTTTGGTGGCAAGCATTAAAGTCTGTAAACGAAGGCAGAACACACCGTCATCTACAAACTGAAGCTTGAGAGAAGTCTCGGATGAAGAGAAGCTCAATGTCCTGAATCCTGATCCCAAGAAAAGGTTAAATTAAAACAACAAAAAGCGAATGCCAACAATAACCCACCCAGCCTGATTTCCGATCAGCTAAAAATCTGTGGGCCACTTTAAAAACTGCAGTGCACAATCATTATCATCCGACTAACTTACAAGAATCACAGTTGAAAAGTGTGATGCTGTTACGTATACCTAACTCGAAAGCTTATTTCACATTGCAATGATTATTTTGTTTCTAAGAATATCATAGAGAATGAAACACTGAAAGGGTTCACCCAAAATGTCACCGTTTACTCATGCTGATCTAAACCAATGACTTGCCTTGTTCCGCTAAACACAAAAGATATATTGAAGAATGATGGTAACCAAACAGTTTTGGTTACCAATGGTATAAAAGTATAAGACCCAAACTCAATATATTAAAACAATAAATAAAACAATCAATATATTTTCAAAACTTTATTGCACAGATCATTTCAAAGACAAATTGAGACAAAATATAAAGTAGTTATTTTAAAATGCATCTTTGAGGAAACAGTCTTAAATAGATTTTGCCTTTGGTAAAACCATAATAGTGCTAATGTGAGGCCCTTTACCTCCACAGCTTTTCTTGGGAGATGAACAAACATGCAACACATTTCCAGTGTTAACAGTACCGGCAAGTAGCATGCTCCACATATTTTCTAGTGCAGGAAAAAAATCCGAACAGAAACGTATAAACCAGCAAATTACCCATCTTTGGTAGGTATAAACAGCTTGGGTCAGTCAGTCTGGCTTCATTGTGAAACATCTACCCTGACTGCTCCCTTAGTCTCCATTCTACACTGAATCTCAGTCTCTCAGTCCATACAGGTTCAAGCGTGCCTTCAGGCTCCTCGAGTTAGTGGCGCCCTTGCGTGCATCTCCGCAGACTCTCAAGCGACTGCAAGAAGGAGCGCCGTGCTTTGTCTTCCTCCGCGGCGAACCGTCCTTCCTCATCCACCTCTTCTGCAATCCTGCCACAGCTGAACTTGCTCTTCATCCGCAGCACGGACCGGGCCCTTACGCAGTCGTGGGTCCTGGACAAACCCAGGAGCTGGGGGAACTCCTCCATAGCCAAAGACATCCGGTAAACAGCCATAGCATTCAAGTGGCTCATCATCACTGCATGTGCGGACATCCTGTGAGGTTGTAGGTTTGTTTTTTCCTCTTCAAAACAAAGTTCTTCACCAGGTGAGTCAGTCCTCCAAATCCACACTTTCTGCTGGTAGAAGTAGATGAAGAAACAGGAAAGAAGCTTTTCAAGTCAGTTTGCTGCTCTTGCTCTGTATCCGTCTTGAGTGTTCGTGATCCAGAGCTGCTGTGAGGGTTTATATAGGCCTTCTCTTCCCACTCACTCCTCACGGCTCCTCCTTCATCACAGGACTGTCACGCTTCCGACTTCCATTCCTATGCTCCGGAATCACCCCCCACTACTGCCTGGAACAAACACGCATGCGGCGTGCAACCGAGAGGGGGCTGAGGGATGGCACTCGAGGATTTGGCACAACATGAGAAATCGTGCACATGTATCAGAGGAGGTGGACCGGATACCGGGCAGATCGTCTTATAACGCCGCTACAAAGCTATACAACAAAGGGAGGAATTCACTTGTACCAAAGCTCAGATTACAATTTTAGTAGCATTTGAATGCAAAGGGCATGGACATGTGTTGGACACAGATGGTTCCTGCCTGCAGGGGAGAAGGCGAGAAATGGCAGAGGGAAAACTCTGTCAGGAGTGCCACCTAAGGTAACCCAATTAGATGATCCCAGAGGGAATGAAAATACACACTTCTCATTGCTACTTTGTTTTTTTGTGTTGATTTTAAAACTCATTTGTAAGGACTTTGAAAAATGTTGAAATCAAGGATGAATAAATAAATAAAATGCACTATTTCTAAGTCAGTAATTAAAGTACACTGCCATTCAAAAGTTTGTGGTCAGTAAAAAACGGTTTTTTTTTTTTTTTTTTTTAAATAAATAAATAAATCAACACTTTTAGCCAGTAAGCATGGATTAAATTGTTTACATTTGCAAATGTGTTTACATTTATATAAATTCATACATTTTTTTTTCTATTCATCAAAAAATCCTGAAAAAATGTATCATGGTCTCTGAGAAAAATATTAAGCAGTACAAGCTTTTTTTAGCATTGATAATCAATGTTTCTTGAGCAGCAAATCAGCATTTCTGAAGGATCATGTGACTGAAGACTGGAGAAATGATGCTGAAAATCCAGCTTTGCCATCATAGGAATAAAAGATCATTTTAAATATACTCAAAAAGAAAAGTTATTTTAATATTTTTTCGAATAAATGCAGCCTAGCTAAACATTAGATTCTTTATAAAAAATCTGAAATCACGAGAAAGTATGATGTACTTAAGTGAATTAAAGAAGTAGTTCATTTTTTTTAAAAAAACATTTGCTGATAATTTACTCACGCTGACGCCCATGTCATCTAAGATGTCCATGTCTTTCTTTCTTCAGCCGAAAAGAAATGAAGGTTTTTGATGAAAATATTCCAGGATTTTCTCCATATAATGGACTTCAATGGGAACCAAACGGTTCAAGGTCCAAAAGACAGTTTCAGTGCAAACTGCAAACTGTTCAAAGGGCTTTAAACAATTCCAGACGATGAATAAGGGTCTTATCAAGCGTAACGATTGCTCATTTAAAAAAAAAACAACAACAAAGTTTAAGTTTTATAAGCTCAAATGGTCGCCTTGCTCTGTTCTGTGATGCGCGTTCGTGACTCTCCTATTCAAACTCGTTCATCAAAATTAACGAATCTTTTGCCGAGTCAACTTGTTCATTTCATTCGTTGAATGAACCAAATGACACGAAAAAAGATTAGTTCATATTGATAAACGAGTTTGAACAGGAGAGTCAGGAACGTGCATCACAGAACAGAGCAAGGCGACCATTTGAGCTTATAAAACTTTTTTTTTTTTTTTTTTTAAATGAGCGATCATTTCGCTTGATAAGACCCTTATTCATCGTCTGGAATCGTTTAAAGCCCTTTGAACAGTTTGTAGTTTGCACTGAAACTGTCTTTTGGACCTTGAACTGTTTGGTTCCTTATTAAAGTGCATTATATGGAGAAAAATCTTGGAATATTTTCATCAAAAACCTTAATTTTTTTTTTTTTTTGGACAGAAGAAAGAAAGACATGGACATCTTGGATGACATGGGGGTGAGTAAATTATCAGCAAAAGTTTTTTTAAAAAGTGAACTACTCCTTTAACCCATGCATGCCAAAATCATGATAATATTAGCCTTACAATAGACCTTCCATCTTTATCAACTTGCCACAAACACACTTATCTGATATATAATATTAAGGTCAACTAACGTTCTCTTTTTGTGTATGCACCATCCATCAAAAACATGAGTGAGAAACAATATTAGAAAGATTCTTTTGTTTTTTATTATTATTTGAAATGCAAGATTAATTCACAAGCAGGCATTTGGATTGCGTTTAGTTCGCTGCTGCAGACTTTTGTAAAAGTAATTCAAAATGAAACCTGAAAGTGCCAATCATTTAGGAATTCTATGTTTTAGAGCAAATACTGAATATTACCATTAACCACATAATAACGGAACCACAGCCTCAGCTTTCAAATAAACTGTTGCCAGATTTGAAATGTACTTCCTCAAATTCCTCAAAACCCCAGCAGCACAAGCATTACAAAGTGAACAATACACAAACTTTCCACAACAATCTCCTTTCAAAAATAGATTCTCTGGTGATAGAATGCATAGTGCCATCTGTGATGGGCACAACTAGTTAATGTAGTGCAGATGAAGAATAAGAAAAAAAAAAGCAAATATGGACCACAAATAAATGCACCATTTTGTAGACGTTCCAGATGCAATTTTCTAATTGTTTGTAGGCAACCTGCCTAATTTAAGTCATATCTTTTGATTATGGTTATCAAGGTTGTTGCTAAGCGCAGCTCAAATAGACATTTCATTCAGGTTAAGAACATATTTTTTCATTATTTATGTTCATCAGATGACTATTACCAGAGAACTTCTAATTAACTCTCTAAACATTGAAGAAAACCAAACAAACTGTACTGAACGATGCTGTTAGTGACTGTTAGGACACAACGAACGCAGACAGACACTTCAACTATTCTGTGGTTGTCCAATCGAGCTAATCAGCAAAGGCTGTTCAAGCAAATCATTTTTGGTTAGCAACGACTCAACACAGCACTCTAATGTCTGGAAATACATTGCTTGATTTGTGCCAAAACAGACTTATCAGGAGCGGTTGGTGTGACTGCTCTTGGCCCCAGACAGCAAAAGGGAAGAGAGAGGAAAGGTTTTTTTGTTGCTGGTCCCTCATTTAAATCACACCATTCCTTCATCCCTCTGTCCGTCCTTTTTTCTGTCTCTAACCTTGCTTCTGTTTCTTCAAATAGCGTGCACGCTGGGACAACTGCATGCTCATAACATACTTGTTGAGCAGCTTTGCAGGAAGCAGAGCAGTAGTCACCCAACCCTGCAGCAATGACATAATAACAGACTTATTAGACTGTCAAAATCCAGAAGCCGAAAACATTTGGCTTTAGTACTATAGTTTATAGGACAAGCATCCATCATTCTAAGTTGTCCTTTTAAGCAAAGTTTGTAGGATTTACACTACTGTTCAAAAGTTTGGGGTCAGTAGGATTTTTAAAAAAGAAATTATATTTTTATTCAGCAAGGATGCATTAAATTTTGTATTTGTTTTTTCATCTAAATATTAAGCAGTTAATAAACATTGATAATAAGAAATCAACATATTAGAATGATTTCTGAAGAATCATGAGAGACTGAAGACTGGAGAAATGGTGCTGAAAATTAATCTTTGCATCACAGGAAAACATTTTAAAATGCATTTAAAAAGATATGTTACTGCTTTGAATTGTAATAATACACTCACCTAAAGGATTATTAGGAACACCATACTAATACTGTGTTTGACCCCTTTCGCCTTCAGAACTGCCTTAATACTACATGGCATTGATACTACAAGGTGCTGAAAGCATTCTTTAGAAATGTTGGCCCATATTGAAAGGAGAGCATCTTGGAGTTGATGAAGATTTGTGGGATGCACACCCAGGGCACGAAGCTCCCGTTCCACCACATCCCAAAAGATGCTCTATTGGGTTGAGATCTGGTGACTGTGGGGGCCATTTTAGTACAGTGAACTCATTGTCATGTTCAAGAAACCAATTTGAAATTATTCAAGCTTTGTGACATGGTGCATTATCCTGCTGGAAGTAGCCATCAGAGGATGGGTACATGGTGGCCATAAAGGGATGGACATGGTCAGAAACAATACTCAGGTAGGCCATGGCATTTGAATGACACCCAATTGGCACTAAGGGGCCTAAAGTGTGCCAAGAAAACATCCCCCACACCATTACACCACCACTACCAGCCTGCACAGTGGTAACAAGCATGATGGATCCATGTTCTCATTCTGTTTACGCCAAATTCTGACTCTACCATCTGAATGTCTCAACAGAAATCGAGATTCATCAGACCAGGCAACATTTTTCCAGTCTTCAACTGTCCAATTTTGGTGAGCTCTTGCTAATTGTAGCCTCTTTTTCCTATTTGTAGTGGAGATGAGTGGTACCCGGTAGGGTCTTCTGCTGTTGTAGCCCATCTGCCTCAAGGTTGTGCGTGTTGTGGCTTCACAAATGCTTTGCTGCATACCTCGGTTGTAACGAGTGGTTATTTCAGTCAAAGTAGCTCATCTATCAGCTTGAATCAGTCGGTCCATTCTCCTCTGACCTCTAGCATCAACAAGGCATTTTCGCCCACAGGACTGCCGCATACTGGATGTTTTCCTTTTTTACACCATTCTTTGTAAACCCTAGAAATGGTTGTGTGTGAAAATCCCAGTAACTGAGCAGATGGTGAAATTTTCAGACCGGCCCGTCTGGCACCAACAACCATGCCACGCTCAAAATCACCTTTCTTTCCCATTCTGACATTCAGTTTGGAGTTCAGGAGATTGTCTTGACCAGGACCACACCACTAAATGCACTGAAGCAACTGCCATGTGATTGGTTGATTAGATAATTGAATTAATGAGAAATTGAACAGATGTTCCTAACAATCCTTTAGGTGAGTGTATTTTAAAATATTACTGTTTTACTGTATTTTTGAAGTGCAGCCTGGCAGAGCATAAGAAACTTCTTTCAAAAACATCCATCTGAACACTGATTTAAAGATGAAGGCATTTTAAGAGGGTCTCACCATGATGGCATGAGGGAGGTAACCGTTAGACTGAGTCTGCAATCCTACGGTACTCAGCTGGGCTTTTACGTAGCGTCCTGGAGTGGGGATGTCGAGAGACGGCCTCTTGATTTTGCTCAGCTTGGTGGTCACAAAAAACGGCAACACGCTCTTCAAGAATATACACAAGACACTTCATCACTGTAAGTAGTTGAATTAGTCTAAGTTTGGGTGACCAGAACACATCACATCACCAGTATAACAAAAAAACAAACACTATATAGTATATCTCAAATGGAATTTCACTTAAAATCATCTTTTGCATTTTTAAAAAGGTACACTATGTAACTTTTGGCCCCAAAACTCCATGTATTTTACAGAAAAACGTTACTTTTGGTTGTGTTTTGGCTCTGCGTGACTGTGCGGATTATTCGGACCCTTTACAATAGATAATGCTTTACAATGAGCTCTGTTAGAGAGCTACATGTGGTAATTTATTAGTTTAATAAAATACCTTACTCACCTATTGAGTAATAAAACGCTATCTCCACGTCGCTTTTACAACATTTCAAATGCTCGTCAATGTTGATTCTCATTTTATTACAAGCTCAGTCGCGTTCTCTTTTTGCCAGCAAACTCTCCTCTATTCTGCATTTTTTTTTTAAAGACGCGTGATTTCCTGGAGGTTCAAGAGTTAGCTGCTCCATTTCAACCTTTCTTAACCCTCTGGGGTCCAAGGTATATTTGGGATTTTCTGAGATACCCTGTCATTTGTGCTTTTTTCAGTAGCTTGTAAACATATTAATGGCACAGGTGAAATTGCATTAAATTTAGCACAATCAGGGCTACCATAATATGTCAGCAATATGTATCTACATGTTTGTATTTATGAGAGAATATTGTTTGTGTGGTTATTGAAAAAAACTAAAAATGAAAGTTTTTGAAATAAGGCCACAAAACACATACACGAAATATGCATCCACATTACTAATGGATATTGGATTTTTGGATTTTGACTAATGGATTTTGTGGCCTAGAGTGTCTTCCTCACAATGATCTGAAAATCATCCTGCCTAATCGTTCACATAAAACTGTGAATTGGGTTATATTGTGAAAAACATTTTTTGTTTGCCAAGGCAATATGCGAATGGGCGTGAACAGGCCAGCCCTCATCAAATTTTGCCACTCCCAAACTAAACAAGCATCTAAGTAGGCAAAACAACTTTTTTATATCTACGGATATAACGAGACACGGATGAGTAACTGAAGCATATACACAATGAAAACCGTGAAAACCATCCCACTAGGTCTAAAATACAAACACTTACAATAAGCTTACCATGATGAAACTGATGATGCATTGTCTCATTTTATACATGTAAAAAAAGTGTTACATAGTGTACCTTTAAATGTCCTTCTTTCCAGCCAACAACAATATAATATTGTGTGAGTTATTGAAAACAATAATGTCTTAGTAAAAACCTAAAGTAATATTGACAAACTATAAAACATTTGAAAGCTTACAACACTTAAAGAATTCTAGTTTTCATATTTGGTAACTGAACACAAGAGTAGTAATTAATTAATTTGAAACAAGAATATAAACATACTTATAAGGCGTGTTCCGACCTTTATTTTGAAATAGCGATGAACATGAAAAATAGTGAATTATTGGTAGAAACCCGAATTAAAAATATAACATCCATTAAATAAAAAAAAGGTCTAAAAAAACATTTTAAATATAAAGAAAAAATATAGATTCACCATTTGTGATGTGGCTGCGAGCTATTACACACATTCATTAACTTTTTTATGCATTTATTCGAGGTTGAATTCAAAACACTGCCAAACTGCCCATACTACTACTGAACAGAATGTATATTTTCAAAAATGGTATGAAAATTATGGAAATATATGGTTCAGATCACTCAAAACCATATGGAAATGGAGGTGCCTTAATAGGACAGTAATGGAGCTCAGTTGTCATCTAGTGAAAAAGTTTGGTACTGCACCCAAACAAAATCTTACTGAAAGCTCATGTTTTAAGATATCCACCTAAAATTTTGTTAAAATTTAAAATTTAGTGTAAAAAATGTCTTGTAAACATAACATTTTTAAATTTTCATAAACTTAAATTTCTATAATTTTTTTTGCATTAATTTATTTAATATCTACAATAATCTGCCAGTGTCTTCTTTAAATCAAGAGCAACCTTAGGTCTACAAACATTCAAACTCATTCTTGAATTACAACTATTTAAGTTAGGATTGTGTATTTTCATGTGACAGTAAAGTGGTTTAAAACTACTCATAAATTTTCACTCACCTGTACAATAATCCCTTTGCTTTTGTATTCAGCATCAAGTCCACGGGAGAAGAAGTCCACAAAGGCCTGGAGGAGTGAGAATAATCATCTAATGCATGTCCTTCAACATCGTGAATGTAACCTTCACATAACCCAAAGCATCAAGCTTCAAACTAATAAGCATCAAACTAACAGGCTCAAAATAGTGCTGCTAAGCACAATGAGATTTCAGGAAACTTCCTCTGAGAACATTACAAAACAAAAGAAAAGATTTCCAAAAACTGATCCATGGCAGAGAGAAAAAGAGAAAAATGACTTGCCTTCGAGGAAGAATAGAGGGTGAGGAGAGGAACTGGGTACATGCCACTCGCCGAGGAAACATTCAAGATCACTCCTTTAGACCTAGAAAGAGTCAGGGGGTTTTCACACAATGTTCAAACTGTTGTAGAACAGCGCATACGCATGTTTAATAGTAATACAGACAAAAAAAAGTGCATGTACCGTCCCTTATATTTGTTTAATTTTCACTCGACCATTTTGACAGCACAGAATTATCCCTTCTAACGGATTCTTGCATCCCCGTTGCCATGGCAACCGGTGCCCGTGCCAGTGTACATACTGTTGCATTATTAGTGCACACCAGACTCTAGGGCTCTAGATGGAAGGAGCTACACAGATCATTTCGGTATGGCTTTTATTCTCAAAACTGACTTTAACCTAGTATATTAGTTTATAATAGCCAATGAGAAAATGTAAAAGTAAAAAACAATATATGTATCTTGATTCTTGGACTGAAGTGTGCAAAAACTAAAAGGCCAAAACCAACACGTAAGCATGAGATGACCAAACAGTACAAAAATAACCAAGTAAACATTTGCATGACGCACTTCTGTGGGAAATAGTCATATCGCAACACGCATGAAAATCATTCCATCAGCTTCGAATGACCAAACAAACACTACTTTAAAATGCCAACAAAAACACATTTTAGTGATTTCTGAACGTACCTGTCAACCATCCTGGGCAGTACCAATCGAGTCATCTATAATAATACAGGGACAAAACATGTGAATCAGATCTGGAATGTTTTAAAATGTTTCTATAGCACAATGAATATAAACTCTTATAACTTTTAATGATCTTTTCAGTAATATTTCATATACCCAAAACAATGCACATGACAATCCTTGAAAAATGCTGTCCTATAAATTGCACATGAATTTTCATCATACAGAGTAATACATCTTGGATCCTGAGTGAGGCAGCATAGACTCAAAATTCAGGCTTCATAAGACAGAACTGCAGTGGCAACTGGCTACACACAACTTATTGTGCACACAAGAAAACTGTTCATATTTATATATATATATATACAGTATATATATATATATATATATATATATATATATATATATATATATATATATATATATTTTGATCATTATTACTGAAAAGATCATTCAAAAGATCATAAGTCAAATCAGTCAAATCACGAGGAAGCAAATTTTCCTGGATACATTGAGATAAAATAGTTTCTTGTAGTATGAAAACACTTGCAACATTCAAAATGCAAAATGTTCTCTCCAGCCATAAAAGGAGTATCTAATACCAAAACAATGAAGACGTTTACACATGACAGCCCATATTATCACACAAACAACAGTTTGTGTTGAAACTTGGCCCACCCAGACACAATATAGAGGAAGCGGGACAGTTACCGTAAATTAAAATTTAAATGTATGCAAGGGGTCTTAAAAGCAGAGCAACAACAAAAAATTAACAAAAACGAAATTATGATTTACCTTCTAAATTATTAAAACTACGCTATGACTGTTTCTGTCATGTACACATATACACTGTGTTACCAGAGTCACATAAAGGCCGTTTATAAGATGGCCAGGTGAAGAGCAAATGAAAGTCTTACCTGACAAACTGAGGTAATGTTGATGTTGATCATATTGTTGATGAACTGCAATTACAAATGTCAATACGTTATCAACCAAAACAAAATTTAAAACAACAGCCAATTACACTTCTTTTCAATAAAATGGAAGTTTTGTATACTGTGTTTTACAAATGGCTACATAAACTCACGCTGTCAACATTAGGAATGTTGAGGAAGAACTCTGGGTAGGAATAAGACACTCCAACATTGTTAACTGTAGGTGGAAGAGAGATAAAATAATTTCAGGGGAGATTATTATTAAAAATAAAAAAACCATAATAAAAGCACTTTCGATGTGCTTGAGCGATATTAAAAAACAGGTTATAAGAAAGAGATGTGGAAAGATAGGTAGTTCCTTTCACTTTCCCATAGCTGGCAGCAAATACTAAAGTGTCACTAAACAGAGTTGATCATTAAAAAAGTTTTGCTGTTTGAGCCCAGAACATACTGTTCCAGAATGAAAAGAAAGACAACCTAACCAAATAGTATCAGAGATATAACAGAGATATAATTTACCTAAAACTCCTATTTCCAGTCCAGTCAGTCCAGACTCAATCTTAGTGTAGATGTCCACAGACCCAAAGTCAGCAGAAATGGTTTTGGTCTCTACATTATATTTGCTCTCTGGAAGAAAAGAAAAAGGCGAACATTAGGAATGCAGGTGCTTTAAGGAATGAACGACATGATGCATATTTGCTTTGCGCTGGTTTCATGTTATCACTGTGAAGCTGCTTTGATACAATCTGTATTGTGAAAAGCGCTATATAAATAAATGTGACTTGACTTGACTTGGTTTGTTTCAATTAAAGTGTAAAAGTGCCAATAAATCAACTAAACCTTTTGGTAACAATTGCAACAAAGCATATCACCTAAAAAACTAAAATTGCAGTTTCTCTTCACATGAGCCAGTGCATCATTCAATTCTTTGCAATGCACTAAGATGTTCTGTTGTAAAACTAAATATGTCTGAGAATGGCTGATGGAGAGAAGAAAGAAACAGAAAGAGAGAGAAGGATGGAAAGAAAGCACAAAAATAACTCATTCACATGCTCGCTCTAGTAGACACTGCACTAGTTCATTGAAAGAAATGTGACGTGTATAGATGGCAGCACTCAGAAAGTCACCAGGTAAATGCAACCAAAAAAAAAAAAATACACACCAAATCTTAATAAAACTAGCTCAACAGGAGAATAGGAGAACTTGTTGTACTGGTGGATACTGATACCTATTAAGTAATAGATACTCGGGTCATAAACTGTAATGATGTATTTGGTGTTGGTATCAGCAACAGACCACAGATTCAATGAACGGCTCTGAAAGTAAAATCAATATGAGTACATTTTTGAAAAACCACTAGAGGAATCTTAAAAGCCTACTGACCATTTTCAGTTCACTTTGTCATTTTGTAGAGTACTTAAAGCTAGAGGTGTAACAACAAATGCGGTCACAATACAAAAATGCAGCAATATGTATGGTGGATCGTGACGATATCTATTGTGTAGTTTAACCAAAATGAACATTACTGTGTGAAAATTGTTTTAGAGTTTTAGTGTCAGTAATGCATTAAACTACAATGTATAATGTTGAATATAATGTATAATAATGCAATGGGGGAATATTTGTGGGTCTTGATGATGCCACATGTCATGTTACCAGTAAAAAGTGCCAAACATTATTTTAAATACATCTAGTCAGTGACAAGTGCAAGCATATTTGTCTAAAATAATTCTGTTTTCAGCTTCAGAATCATGAATATTTTTAGGTTCCACTTTATTTCGAGTCCACTTTAGACATTCTACTAACTATAAGTAACTACATGTCAACTAACTCTCATTAGAGTATCCGTAGACTGTCAGTAGATTGTGAGGTTATGGTTAGGTGTTAGGGTCCAGGTAAGTAGAATAAGTTACTTATAGTCAGTGGAATATCTGTTGGGGGACCAACAAAATAAAGTTTTAGCAGATATTAAGCAGACAGTCTACTAATACTCTAATGACAGTTAGTTGACATGTAGTTGCAAAATTACTTATAGTTAGCAGAATGTCTAAAGTGGACTATCGAAATAAAGTGTTACCTATTTTTATTCTGGTGTCACTATTGCCCCATGCATTGGGTTACCAGCACCAAGTCCAAGCCTATTCATGTACACCCACAATTTAATGCCAAATTTAGCATTTTAATCAACAGTTAATCTTTTACTATACGTCTTGAAGTATTACAATAATATATCAAGAGTTCACAACCGTGATATGTATCGAATCGCGACATAAGGGTATCGTCACACCCCTACTTAAAGCACAATCATTAGTCTAAACAACAAGTACACTGATATTTTGGCCACTATTGTCATTCTGACATCATTATAATTAGTAATAAACACGATTTGTAAAAACCTAATTTAACTTCTGGTAAAAATTGTTTGCGAAACAAAAAAAGCTTTTTTTTTTAAAGCTTCAGGTTTGCTGTGCTTGTTTCTAGGGTTGAGTAATATATAATACGTATTTTACTGAAATATATCTATTGTAATATTTCACTATAAAATAGAAACAATTAGTTAAGAAATATTTATTTTTATTTATTTTACAGAGCAACTGTAAAATTACAAAATTAAAGGGTTAGTTCACCCTAAAATGAAAATTCCGTCAGTATTTACTCACCCTCATGTTGTTCCAAACCTCTATGTGTTTATTTGTTCTGCTGAACACAAAGGAAGATATTTGGAAGAATGTTTTAATCAAACAGATCTCATTCCCCATTGACTACCACACATTCTATGGTAGTCAATGGGGAATGAGATCTGTTTGATTAAAACATTCTTCCAAATATCTTCCTTTGTCTATAGCAGAACAAATAAACACAGAGGTTTGGAACAACATGAGGGTGAGTAAATATTGACAGAATTTTCATTTTTGGGTGAACTAACCCTTTAATATGTGTCTTTATTCATGTTTAAAAGCTTTTATTTTGGGGGGAAACCAAAGGAAGACCATAAATCGTCTCTTTAGTTGGCAAACAGCTGGTTTTTAAGCACTTCTTATTACAAGATTGGGAATAGTTGGCTCTTGTCAAGTTCCCAAATGAAGGTTATAAGAGACCCAAGCTTATGAGACACTGAAAACAAGGAATTTTGAGCTGCTCGTGCTTTCACGGGATCATCATGCCCAACACTTTTGTCAATTGTCACTTTTGTCTGATGAAATGTGCGCCTGGCTATATTTGCCAGTGTTCATTGGAAGTCACTGGGCTGATTTCCTCCATTCAATGCTCTCTCTCTCTCCCGCCATGACATCTCCAGGATCCACCTCCATCTGTGAAGTCGCGCTCTGCTGCAGAAGCCAGGCAGCTCAATTGGCAGAGTGCCTGCCTTTCAACACAGCTAAAAATAACTCAGCTCATTAACATCCACATTCATTTAGCAGAGGGAGACACTCGCTGCCTCACAAACAGGAGCAGAACTCCCATACACACACGAATAGGTACCCCACAGGTCCTCTGCACACGAGCAAACACAAACACATGGATGCACACACGTGCGTGCATGCTCTAAATCATGCCATCCTCCTTAGATCAGGAGTCAGCCAACCAAAGGACAAGAAGAAATGAATGGGGGTGCATCTGCGATTCAGCCACTGCCGCTCTATTCATGCAATGTTGAGATCCTGCCTTTGCTTTGTTCTTGCGGTGCCAGTGATATAAAGGGAGCAATCAACAGTAGACTATACATATAAAATTGTAAATAATCCATTTTTTTCTTTTTTTTTGTAATATAAAAGGTCATATTTTATATTAGGTTTCTCCTACTACTAGATCAGAAAAATAAATCTCATGTACAATGTACTTATTGTGCTCATGTTGTATTCCAAAACACTTTTCCTGCTATTGAGGTGGGATTTGGGTTGAGGGACCGGTTTGGCCGGTGACTTAAGAAGAAAATGCCCAGTCAACTGCCCAGAGCGTCGTTCACATTAGTTCACGTTCACGTTCTCACAATCTTGCATCGTTAGAATTCATAAAAATATTACTGGCCAACTGTTACACCGTTTCAAATACGGTGTTTCACCGTTTTCGTCCCTTTGTAAATGTCAATGAATCCCAATCATTCATAAATAGGGCACATAATATGCATGTTTATTGTTCATTCATAATTGGAATAAACCCCACCCATGAATAATGTGTACAGGAATGCTGTGGGATCTTCTGGACTCCCTTATCAGGTTTAGCAGACTTACTGGCCATATGCCTAATAAAACTTTATAAATTAAATTGTAAATCTTTCAGACGAATTCTACACACACATAGAGTAGTAGCAATCTATATTAAAAAAAAATTTAATAGACTAGGTGGATGTTTTCAATCATTTTTGTTTATGAGTGAAATTAATTTTCACATTTAACTAAATGATTTTGTTATTATTATTATTATATATCATAATAAATAGTGTCATTATAATGCAGTGTCACCAGTTTACCTAAAAGAACAACACATTCTGATGTTTTACACACCATTAACTCATGTTTGGAAGCAGGTGTATTTTTTTTCCGGACCAAGTAACAATTTGCAAATACAAGCACTCCAGAAAATGTATGAATGGTTTAAGCAAAAAAAAAAATTCATAAATGAGCTCAATAGAGTGTTTTCCCACAGGTCGAATCAGGCACCTACCAATAGCTTTGGACACTTCATCCAGTTTCTCTTGAGTACGGCTGATGAGAACTATAGCAAACCCTTGTCGAGCAAGCTGCACAGAATCAGAAACATTTCACATGATCAGATCATAATTACGCTAGCATTCACAATCAATATACACTCACGTTAAAGATTATTAGGAACACCATACTAATACTGTGTTTGACCACCTTTTGCCTTCAGAACTGCCTTAATTCTATGTGGCATTGATTCAACAAGGTTCTGAAAGCATTCTTTAGAAATGTTGGCCCATATTGAAAGGAGAGCATCTTGCAGTTGATGGAGATTTGTGGGATGCACATCCAGGGCACAAAGCTCCCGTTCCACCACATCCCAAAAGATGCTCTATTGGGTTGACATCTGGTGACTGTGGGGCCCTTTTTCGTACAGTGAACTCATTGTCATGTTAAAGAAACCAATCTGAAATGATAAAAGCTTTGTGACATGGTGCATTATTCTGCTCGAAGTAGCCATCAGAGTATGGGTACATGGTGGCCATAAAGGGATGGACATGGTCAGAAACAATGCTCAGGTAGGCCATGGCATTTAAACGATGCCCTATTGGCACTAAGGGGCCTAAAGTGTGCCAAGAAAACATCCCCCACACCACACCACCACCAGCCTGCACAGTGGTAACAAGGCATGATGGATCCATGTTCTCATTCTGTTTACGCCAAATTCTGACTCTACCATCTGAATGTCTCAACAGAAATTAAGACTCATCAGAACTGGCAACATTTTTCCAATCTTCAACAGTCCAATTTTGGTGAACCCTTGCAAATTGTAGCCTCTTTTTCCTATTTGTAGTGAGATGAGTGGTACCCGGTAGGGTCTTCTGCTGTTGTAGCCCATCTGCCTCAAGGTTGTGCGTGTTGTGGCTTCACAAATGCTTTGCTGCATACCTTGGTTGTAAATAGTGGTTATTTCAGTCAAAGTTGCTCTTCTATCAGCTTGAATCAGTCGGCCCATTCTCCTCTGACCTCTGGCATCAACAAGACATTTGATTAGATAATTGCATTAATGAGAAATTGAACCGGTGTTCCTAATAATCCTTTAGGTGAATGTATATTGCATTACTATACAAAGGACCCTACTTTCAAATGTCCCAATATACTTAGAGTGAAATTAAAGAAAGAGCTTCTGTCCGTCAAGGACAGAATTGAGTAAAAACAAAAACGAGCTGCTTTAAAGTAGAAATTGAAGTCGTAATTCTACTTGAAAGAGACCCTGACACTGTTAAACACATCCATATTTATTATTGTAAAGCTGCTTGATTCAAAGCAATCTATTGTATGAAGTACTATATAAACATATCCACTATGATCACTATGATCAGATGCTTTCTTAAATGCTTAAAGCTGCAGTCCATAGCTTTATTTACATATAACATATGTTATATGTAAATATATAACATATTTATACAGTATGTTCAAAACTATCTGCTTGCTGAACTCGATTCAAAATGGTAAACTTGTAATGTTTTTAATTCCAGTGGTACTGGTGGATTTCCGCGAGAGATTCTCAGCTAGTAGGATATATTGAGTCAATACGTCACATCTATAACTGTATTTAAATAGGGAAAACGTGGAGGTGTTTGGTCGCATCTCTGCTTGGATCCTAATGAATGAACTGGGCTAATTTAAGTGCTATCAAAGTGTTATCACACCAGAGCGATTAAGCACACGCACTGAGACGTGAGAGGTGTGCATCTACTCATCTTAGTTAAAGGAATAACAGTTTAAACTGTGTTTTACACCAAAATGAAAGAACTTTGCTGTGAGTGTATGGTTATATTACAGAATCAGATCTCGTTATCAGAATCTAATGTATCGTTCCAATCACTTAAAAATACCATACAATAAAAATAAATTACAATTTCATAAATGCCGTCAAGCAGCAGAAATGAGAAGCAGTAGGGTAGTAAATGCTTGTACGAGGCAAACCTTTGAGAGCGGAGGTCTCCCTGAACTCTGACTGAGACCTCTAGTTTGATGACTCATCCTGATTTCTGTGAAGGGGGGGTGGACAAATAAAACCTCAGGAATCTTACCTCCTCCGCATAGGCTTTTCCAATTCCATCTGTGGCCCCAGTCACAACTATAGGCAAAAAGAGAGAGGAAGAGAGAATGTAAACACACATCTCAACTTCACTGCAACTGACACTTTGACAGCAAGTGTAATTATACATATTGATAAACAGTGCTTAAAACACAAGCTATTACTTTTGTGACAAAAGAAAGATGTCATAAATTTCATTAAATAAAAACTAACCGTATTATTTTGGAATTAAAAATAAAAGTATCTAGGGACTCTCATCATCCAAATTAAACTTGGAAATCTAATGTATGAGCTGATGAGACCATGGACACGACAGCAAAACAGACGACATGTTCCTGTACCGTTTTCTGTTACACTCTTAAAAATAAATGATCCAAAAAGTTTTTGCAATGATGCCATAGACAAATCATTATAGGTTCCCCAAACTTTTCAGGAAAACCTTTGTGTATGAAGAACGTTTTATAATCTACACCCTTAACTAAACCTAAAGTTTTTTTTTTGTTTTTTTTTTTATAGGTATCTATCTATCTATCTATCTATGGTTCCAACTGCAAAAAAAAAGGTTCTTCAGGTTATAAAATGTTTTTCAACTAAGAAAAAAAATGATATTTTAAGAACTTTTCACTGAAAGGTTTTTAAGCCAATTAATTTTCTATGTTAATTGAGTATTACTTTGTCTTGTAATTTATAATGTAATTTAAATAACTTGTGTTTTTGTACCTCGGTGCTTTTTTGGCCAGGTCGCCATTGTAAATGAGAATGTGTTCTCAATGTGCTCACCTAGTTAAATAAAGGTTTTATTATTATTATAAGCAACCCAAAATGGTTCTTCTGTGGCATCACTGTAAAACCCCACCACAAAACCTTTATTTTTGAGAGTGTAAAGAACTGTTTTTCAGTCTAAAGGACCTTTCGGGAAATTCATTGTTAAAGGTTCTTCATGGGAAACATTCACACTGGTGAACAATAAAAGATAGTAGTAAAGGTATTGGCATCAATGGTTCCATGAAGAACCTTAAACATCCATAACCTTTCCATTGGACAAAAGGTTCTTTACAGTGGAAAATGGTTCTTTAGATTAATAAAATGTTCTTCAACATAGGAAAAATAATGGTTCTTTTTAGGGACGGTTTACTGGAAGGATCTTTGGGGGAACCAAACATGGTTATTCTTTGGCATCACTGTGAAAACCCCTTTTGGAAACTTAATTTTCAAGAGTCTAAATGCCAATAAAGAACCTTTATTTTTAAGATATAGGTGCCCTTGGCAACTAGACAACAGGCCCTGTCACTCCATATGCGGTTCACCTCTGTAAAAATAGCTTGAGGGCAAGCAAAGAGGGAAACGTCTTCACATTTATAAAAAAAAAAAAAAGAGCAGAAAAGCATGAATTCATGCATGCTTCCCTCTTCGCTGGGCATCAAGGACACAGGAAAAACATCCCCACCCTTTAGCCTGGCATCTTTGGTGTCAGAGATGCCAGTCCTGATTAAAGATTTACATGGTCAGCCCGCATACACCGACCGGAGTAACACAAGAGAGTGTGGAAAGGGAGGAGTGGATGACGAACAATAAGACAGCGCAAGGGAGGAGCGAATGAGGACTGATCCTAGGGGCAGTTAAAAATAGAAAGGAAAGAGTGAAAGGCAAGCAGCTAACGGAGAGTACAGTTGGGAGGGGGCGGCACACAGTTAGAGGCAAGGGAACCATTTTCCCAGTTATTTTTAAGCACATTTACAATACATTACTCCACATGAGCGGACGGGGGAAAAAAAAAAAAAACACTGGTCGGGATGAAACGCTTCGAGGGTGTACTGCTATGTGAGGACATGCAGAGAGAGAATTTTGTATGAATCCTGCTGTATGGCGAAATGCCACCGTCTCATAACACACCCTGAGCAATGTCCTACAACACATTCTGGAAATGTGAATGAATGGGAGTCTTATTCAGAAAAACTCAAATGCTCTCACGTGTTTAGCGTTGTTGAATCACATAACATCACATCTGTACTTTAGTTTAACTAGACATCCAATGTAAAGACGACACATCGGTTCACATCAAGTTGTAAAAATATCTTGATGAGACTACTTGAATTGAGTACAAACTACATTCATTATTTGATTATCTTGCATTTCATGTTTTTGAGAGAATTTCATAAAAGAACCTTGTCCTTCATCTAAATGGAGGCAATGCTTTGAAGAAAAATTAAGTTGAGTAGCTTAATATAAGATATGGAATGTACCAGTCAAGGTCTTGCTTAGTTAAAGGGATAGTTTACCCATTTGTCGAATTATATATAATTATTAAAATTTATATATATATATATATATATAAATCATAATATATTTACAAAAACATTAAAATACCACAATATGCAATGGATCATGACTTAATTATACAGGATTGCATGGCCAAAACGATTCTCATTCTATTTCATTATTTTTTACTGAGAATGACAAAGTGTATGATAAACAAAACACATACTAAATGTTGTATTACTTGATCTTAATTACACATTTAACATTTTTTAGATTAACAATACAGTAATATTGTAAAACATTATTAGAATTTAAAATAACTGTTTTCTATTTTACTATACTTTATCATCTAAATTATCCCTGTGATGCTAAAGATGAATTTTCAGCATTTATTACTCTAAAAAGTTCTTTGAAGAATAAAACATTCAAAAGCATAGCATTTATTTGAAACGGAAATCGTTTGTAACATTATAAATGTGTTTGTTTACAGTCACTTTTGACCCATTCAATGCATCCTTGCTGAAAAAAACTGTAGTGTATTTAATAATTAGACTTTTTGTTTACTGAGAAATCAAAATTTTCACTTAATTTACATTTTGTTGAAAACAGTTCCTCCAATAAAAGGGTGGCAACACTATCCAGTTACTTTCTAAAAACCTGCACAATATGAAATACTATCCTGCATCTGAGTGAAAACATTCACAGATTGATGAACATCATCTGTTGGAAAATGTAAAAAAAAAAAAAAATCTTCAGAAATTGATGCCAAACCAAACGATTGATGAGCAATTTGGGTCAGTGTAATTCAAGTTATTTTTAAAGTATATAGCTAAATAATGACTTTAAACAGCCCAGTGAATTCAATTAATTTACATCCGTAACTGACAGGTTATCACAAGCATGAAGAAAAAAAAAGTGTTTGTCGTCGACCTTCTCGAGCCACATATCAAAAGATTAAATGCTGGAGTCTGGTCAACTGAGAAATGATGTTATAAGAGTGAAGACGACGCCCCCTCACAGCGCACACTGATGCTGCTGCCGCTAAATATTCTGAAGGCTAAAAAAAGAACAGGAGATTAAAAATACCAGGCAGGCACTGCAGCCTCGTCTGGAACAGCTGCAGCACTTGAATACAAACGAGCCTCAGCTTCCCCCGGCATCACATGCACTGCACTCCGCCTCCCCGGGCTCGCAGACCAGGCCGTATACATGCCGAGACCCGTGCATTTGCTGCAGCTGCATGTCACACAATGTAGAGCCGTTTGGTGAATTAACTGACAAGGATGAAACTGGGGAAAAAAAGGGCACAAGAACCCAGACCGCTAGCTGGAGTCGTCCATCAATAATGGATTTGTTTTTGTTTCATTCCACATATACTGCCCAGGTTTAGATTAAACATTTTATCAACAAACAAATGTTTTTGATAACAGTATAGCTTAAGCTACGGTTTGGTTACGAGTCCATTTTTTGTAACAATTGTTCTTCAACAAGCCTGCAAGTTTCTCTCTCAAACCTGGAAAACTTTGAGAAAAACAAAAGAGCCATCCCTCACTGCCCTTGGATGTTCCCATGTTTGCTGTGTTATGTAATAGCACACCCATCTCGGTCCGCAGACCGGGATCCTCCCTCCTCATTGGATGCCGCAGTAGAGGATTCAAAGTGTCTCCTGGGCCCCCACTCCCAGTAACATGCTTCTTTAAATAGCATGGGGTGCCACGTGCCTCTCTCGAAGGCTTTATTTGCTTCACATCAGCAGCGCTGTTCAAAAGGACGGGTTTAAAAAAAATCGGCTGCTCTAAAAATAGACAGAGATGCATTTATTTTTCCCTGAGGCAAGATATTTTCAGAAAGGGGGAGAACTATGTGAATGTCTTCTGCGATCCAGTGTGCAGTACAGTAGCATTACAGCGATTCATAAATATCTATTAAATATTTATTAGTTGCGTATGTGTAGTCGCACATTTTTTATTCAAATTCTCAGTTAATGACATTTTGACATTTAGAATTCCCTGGAATAAAGATAAATCGCGGACATTTATAGCAGACATGGATGAGCTGAGTAAATACACACTTCCTCAGTTCATATTCAGGCATTAAAGAATTCCAGGGTTCAAAGGCAGTTTATACCAAGTATAATTTTCAAATGACTGGTTAATAAAAACATATATTGATCTGTGTTGTTTATCAATTAATAATAGAGTAATGTAAAAGCACCAGAGGAGTTAAAAAGGAGGCAGGAAGCACATTGTTGCATGAGAAAGAGGAGGGAGTGACAATAAAAGAGAGCTAAACGGAGGGAGATAATATGCAAAACAAGGAGACGAGGCACGTGTTACTGAGGGTGCTCTTCGTCCAACTTCAGCTCTCATTCAGTCATTTAAATGCATTCATTCACAAAAGTGTACTACCCACAGACATGCTGAAAAAAATAAAAAGTACAATTATTACAAGGACAATAACTGCTATGAAGAAAATGTATTTTCTATGCATATTTGTATATTTCTTATCTTCTGTTATGTCACATAAAATTTTCTAAATGCATTCAAGGGATTCTTTTGACGAAATTAATCCACACAACTAGTAATTAATAACTAATAGGGACTGGAGCTTTCAAGTCTCAAAGACATAGCGGTCAACATTGAACATTGAAAATAAGGGAGTTTTCCCGGAATCCATCCCCAAAATAAGGGATTTTTTTTTTTTGCACGATACTCACCCACAAACTTTAAAAATAAAGCACAATCCTTAAAAGTCTAAGGTGTTCATAACTAGCCTATGTG